CAGCTGGGTAGATTTCTGGTAGCGGCGGATTTCTCGCAGGGCGACGGTACCGGGGCGATACCGATGAGGCTTTTTCACTCCCCCAGTGGCAGGCGCGCTCTTTCGGGCAGCTTTAGTGGCCAGCTGCTTACGGGGGGCTTTGCCACCGGTGGACTTACGGGCGGTCTGCTTGGTCCTGGCCATTCTGCGCGATGGCGGGTCTTAACTCCGAGAACTAGAAAGAAAATGAATCGAGGCGGTTGGTCTGACCGCTCTTTATAGCCAAACTCTGCATCATGATTGGATGAGGAGGAGACGGCAGCTCCCATTGGACTTTTCAAAATTGTTTAAAAAGACCGCCTTCTTCGCCGAAAGCATTGGTTCTAGTCATCATCGTTTTTTCTTTAATCCTTGCGACTTAACTTCGACTGAATTCACTGTTGCCGATGATAACTTTTTTTAGGTGCTATTATAATACTGTTATGATTCTTTGAGAGGTTCAGCTTTTGGTATTGCTGTTTTATAGCCGGGACGCTATTCCAGAAAAAAACGAGCAGATGAGGCATTGGATAAAGTTCACCCACCGGTGAGGAGGTGGATGTAGAGAAGTATTTATTATGTATCTGGCGTTGGTCAGGATTTTAACTGAAGCAATGGGGGGGAGGGGCAGAGACTAAATAAAAATGTACATGCTTTATTTTAATTTTTGTGGTTTTGGAAAATGAAGACTGGAGTGTAAGGGGGTAAGGTAAGGAGGGGGAGGATAGGATAGAGGATTGGGAAGTGTGGGTGGGGGAGCTCAAGGCAGGGGGAAGTGGAGGTCTCAGTACAGAGAGCTAGGAGGTGTATGGGGGGGTTACTAGTGTCTTTTATGTTGATGACTATGGTACTGCTCTGGCAGGAGCTGCACCCATGGGGCTGTGGTAGCATTCCCTGGCCAGGAGCTCCTCCTGGGGATGGGATGTGGGGGGTAGTCCAGGTATGTGTGCTTGTTGGGTGAGGGCTGGTTGGGACTCTGCAGGTGGGTCCTGGCTGGCTGCTGTTCCAGCCTGTCTGCACCCTCAGGCCTATAACTGCTCAGGGGAAGAGGGGGCTTGCTTGGGATAGTACCCCTTTCTCCATCATGTAGCCTGTTGGTGAAGCTCTCTGCACCTTGGCCCTGGCCTCCAGCTCCCTCCCCCATCTTGCAGCTGGTCTTGGGGGGAGGGATAGTGCTTTGGGGGCTATCCACCTCCAACCAGCTCCTTCCATCCTGTGGACTGTTGGGGAGGACACTCCAGGGGATTAGCCAGGCACCATTGGCTGCCCCCAGACTTCAATGCCCCCTCCCCCCGCCTCCAGACCCTACCCATGGTCTCCAGTGGCTCCCCCTTATGGCTTGCAGGTTCCTGCAGGAGCGTGGCCCCCTTCCAGCAGCTGTACTGCCCTCCCCATGGAGGTGGGGGCAAGTTTTGGATTTAAGGCAGGTGGGTGACTCACACAGTCTGGTGGCAGGCAAGATAGTTGAGTCCCCACCCTGCTGGTCACTCTCTGGCTATATCTACACTGGCAGGTTCTTGCGCAAGAACCCGCAGAGCATCCACACAGCCCACCTGCTCTTGCGCAAGATTTACAGTAAAGCGTGGGAAGAGAGGTCTTCTTGCACAAGAGCTACGCTCTTTTCTAACAAGTGTAAGCCCTCTTGCGCAAGAGGGCAGTGTGGACACACGGCAGGGGTTTCTTGCGCAAGAAAGCCCTATGACTAAAATGGCCATCAGAGCTTTCTTGTATAAGAGCATCCATACTGTCATGGATGGTCTTGCGCAAAAGCACATGGCCGTGTGGACGTGTTCTTGTGCAAGAGTTCTTGCATAGGAACTCTGGCGCAAGACCCACCAGTATAGACATAGCCTCTTTGTGATGCAGCTGCCCCCAGTGGCTACTCAGCATCAGGTCCTTCATATCTGTGCCCCTACTTTTTATTTCCCTCCCCACACTGCCCCCTGCCTTTCCCTGTTGTTCCTGAAAGTTCCCATTTTCCAGGCAAGACCGAACCCTGACCTTGGTTGAAATTAAGAGAAAGCTGCATATCAAATTTGGTGGTCCTACCCTTAGTTCCCTGTAGTGTATGCATGCCTGTACAGGCAAGCACAAAGAATTTGATTCCTGCCCACCCCCTCAGCAGAGCTGTGCAGCTGCACTTCCCTTCTTTGAATGTTGAACATAATCTGGTGGCTCTGTGCTTGGTAGGAAATTGGGGAGCCAAGGCCACATGGTGGGTGCTCATCTGCTGAGTGGCTGCGCTATGTGCGAACACATCAGGCAGCTATTTTCCATGGGGGCCCACTCTGGGAGCAGCTGGGCAGCCACCCCACACCACTGGTGTTACCCACCAGCTCTGTGTTCTTGGGGAACCAGCACATGGCCACCTGTCAGCCCTGTACTCTTGAGGAGCCAGGGCATGATACTCATGGAAAACAATCCCCCTCCCCCAGGCCTCTGCTTGAATCAAAGACAAAGCAAGGAAAAGGCAGGCTACGTCTACACTGCAGGCTTCTCGCGCAAGAGTTCTTGTGCAAGAGTGCATCCACACTGCCATGTACTCTTATGCAAAAGATGTGGCAGCATGGACTCTCTCTTGTGCAAGAAAGCTGTGATGGCCATTTTAGCCATAGGGGTTTCTTGCGCAAGAAACCCCTGTTGCCCATTCACAGTGCCTTCTTGCAGAAGAGCTCTTGTGCAAGAGGGTTTATTCCTCGTGGGGAGAGGAATAACTCTTGTGCAGGAAGCCCTCTGTTCCAACGCTTTACTGTAAATTTACTTGCGCAAGAACAAACGTGCAGTGTATATGCTCCGCAAGTTTTTGCGCAAGAACAGCAATTTTGCGCAAGAAGCCTGGAGTGTAGACGTAGCATAACTCCTCCAAACAAGGATGATAGAATTAAGGCAACACCCCATTCTCATCTGTTTTGAAGCTAGAACAGAGAGACATCTCTATTAGCATATATAATGGAGAACCACTCTTCCAAAGCAGGAACCATACTGAACTATGGGATACCAAAAGCAGAGAAGCACTGCCTGATGGGAAGTCTCTGCTCCAGATGCTAATTAACCCAGGCCTGCTCACACCAAATTAGTCATTATCAGACCAATTTTAGTAATGAATCCTATTGACATCCAAAATTCTGAAACTGCCTACTTGCATTGTGAGTTCCTTCAAGGAACATCACCATAACCAGGTGTGATCAGTCTCTATTGTCTCACCTCTGTTTACCCATAAATAAATCCAGTGTTCTCCAATCCCTATAAAAACTATCCTTGCCCAAGAGACACTGTTTTAATACCTGGATTTAAACTGCATCAGTTCCACTGAGACTTCATAACCAGTCTGATTCTGCTGGGGGCTTTGCTCTGCTTGTCTCCTGCCCTCTGGACCCCCCGGGTTCCCATCACCATCTGGGAACTCTGATCAGTGTTCCATGAAGTGGTGAGGTCTCTCTCTCTCTTTTTCTCCCTTCCCCCCAACCTCCACTACCTCTCTCTAAGCATAGCCTCCTGACCCTGCCCTATGTAAACTGTTATATGGTTAGCTAGGCCTAACACTTGTAATCAGTTTCAATTTATATTTAATATTGTAACTGTTTTGTGAGTTTGGCTCTCTCTCGCTCTCTCTCTCTATATATATATTCACTACCCAGAAATAAATAACTTAATAACTTTCATTGTTAAGCTGATTGCTTCTCCCTCTTTCTCTTTCACTTATTCTTCCTCAATGGGTGTTGTTTTAGCTTCCCCATTTGCTCTGCAACAACTATTCTTGTACCCAAGCTAAAGATCCCTCTAGTGCCCAAAATCCTGTGGGGTTTGTTCATTGTGTGGTTTATCAGTGAATGACTGTGGTGTGAAAGTGGGGATAGGAAGGTGCTGAACCTGGGGGGCGGTATATGAGGATGGCAGATTAAAGTGATGTTAAATCCAGACCACTGAGTCCAAAGGCACATGAGGATGCAGTGTGGCATTGCTGATAAACCCAGCCTGTTGAGTCCAGGGACATATAAGGGGTCAGCTTGTGAGTGTTGATTACCCAGTCCTCTCAGGAGTGCTTTGTTAGTGGGTGTGAGTGTCCATGTGTTGCTAAGGTAGGAAAAACCCTGTCCTGAGGAACCTAGTTCCTGCAGGAGAGCTCTAGTGGGAGGGGGAATTGCAGCAGGGAATTTCAGCTCCATATGAAAGCACAAACAGGGCACTGATACAATGATTAATCTTCCCCTGCCCCATAAGAGTAACCCTAATAAATGAGCATACCCCAGAGCATTGGGCAAATCTGGTAACACTAGCCTCAGCTCCATCTCTTTCCCAAACTTGGAAGGGTGGGCAGTTAGTACTGGTACTCAGGCTTCCACTCACAGACTCTGACCCAAGAGCGCTGGCCACTGCACATAGACAGGACATGCAGACACTCTCCATCCTGATGAGATTATAGCAGAGGTACCAATTGGAAGGGCAGTGGGAATGGGATTGTAGCACTAGTATGAATCTGAATTATTAATAATCACCTTCTGTGCTGCCTGCACTATCATTAAAAAAAAGCTCTCAGACACAACGTACTTGCCAGCCTAGGGAATCTTCACCCTCCAGTGAAAGTCCCAGTCCCACCCTAGGCATTGACCCCATGACCTTATGTCCACATGGGCAGAGACCCTGGAGACCCCTTCCCCAGAGAATGAGAGGATGAGTTGATGACAATCAAGCAGACACTAAATTCATATTCGGGGAACTGAACGTAAGAATGGCCATACTGGGTGAGACCAAAGGTCCATATAGCCCAGTATCTTGTCTGTCAATACCAGAGGGAGGGATCACAGTAGGTAATCCTCAGGAAATCCCTCTCCCGTCACCCATTAACAGATAAACAGAGGCTAGGGACACCATTCCTACCAGTCCTAGTTATAGCTATTGATGGACCTAACCTCCATGAATCTATCTAGCTCTTTTCTGAACTCTGTTGAAATCCTAGTCTTCACAACATTTGGCAAGGAGTTCCACAGGTTGACTGTGTGCTGAGTGCAGAAAAACATCCTTTTGTTTGTTTTAAACCTTCTGCCTACAAATTTAATTTGGTAATCCCTAGTTCTTATATTGTGGGAATAAATAAATACCTTTTCCTTATTCACTTTTTCCACACCAGTCATGATTTTATAAACCTCTATTATGTCCTCCCTTAGTCTCCTCTTTTCTAAACTGAAAAGTCCAAATCTTTTTAATCTCTCTTCATATGGGACCCTTTCCAAACCCCTAATAATTTTTGTTGCCCTTTTCTGAATCTTTTCCAATGCCAATATATCTTTTTTGAGATGAAGTGACCACATCTGTACACAGTATTCAAGATGTGGGCATACCATGGTTTTATATAGAGGCAATAAAATAGTCTCTGTCTTATTCTCAATCCATTTATTAATGATTCCTAACAGTCTATTTGCTTTTTTGACTGCTGCTGCACATTAAATGGATGTTTTCAGAGAACTATCCACAATAACTCCAAGTCACTGGGCTCACACACTGCAGCTGCTTTTTATCCCTTTAGTCACTGACCTACCGCTTGGCACAGCACAGACACAGGACAACTCATGGTCTGAACCGAACCCTAAAGCCAGAAATTCACGGCTGTGAATAATGGATCTCAAACACACATCCCCTTTTTTACTGAGCACCTGTTTACTGAATGGTGGGGAGGAGAAAGGATTTAAGGTATTTTGAATTTAAAAAAAAAATAAAAAAAACCCCAAATAGTCTAGCAGCACCTTAAAGACAAACAAAATATGTAGATGAAATCATGAGTTTTGCTGAGTACATCTGAAGTGGGTTATACCCACTTTCGATCTACATGTTTTCTTAGTCTTAAAGGTACTGCTAGATTATTCGTTGTTTTTTTAAAATTCCACTTACAGCCCAAGTGGGCTACATCTTGGAATGGTTGATTATTTTCCAAGTGGAAAGAAACCGAACGAACCACAGCAGTTAACAAGTGTTTTGGGAAAAATGGAAAGGTTAGCGCTGCAAATAATGATCCAGAAAGTATGTTACGAGAAAGGCAATTCTGTGACAATAACACACAAAAATCTAATCGCTTCCGGGACTATTAGCTACTGGAACCAATGCTTTCGGCGAAGAAGGCGGTCTTTTTAAACAATTTTGAAAAGTCCAATGGGAGCTGCCGTCTCCTCCTCATCCAATCATGATGCAGAGTTTGGCTATAAAGAGCGGTCAGACCAACCGCCTCGATTCATTTTCTTTCTAGTTCTCGGAGTTAAGACCCGCCATCGCGCAGAATGGCCAGGACCAAGCAGACCGCCCGTAAGTCCACCGGTGGCAAAGCCCCCCGTAAGCAGCTGGCCACTAAAGCTGCTCGAAAGAGCGCGCCTGCCACTGGGGGAGTGAAAAAGCCTCATCGGTATCGCCCCGGTACCGTCGCCCTGCGAGAAATCCGCCGCTACCAGAAATCTACCGAGCTGCTGATCCGCAAGCTGCCCTTCCAGCGCCTGGTGCGAGAAATCGCCCAGGACTTCAAGACCGACTTGCGCTTCCAGAGCTCGGCTGTTATGGCCCTGCAGGAGGCGAGTGAAGCCTACTTGGTGGGGCTCTTTGAGGACACCAACCTGTGCGCCATTCACGCTAAGCGAGTCACCATCATGCCCAAGGACATCCAGTTAGCTCGCCGTATCCGTGGTGAGAGGGCTTAAAGGCAGCTCACTGTCCTGCAACTTCCAAACGACCCAAAGGCTCTTTTAAGAGCCACTAAATGTACACTTAAAGGAGTTGTAGCACACTCGTAATTGAAATGTGTTCTAAGGTCTTATGCAGAGGGCTTAAAGGCAGCTCATTGTCCTGCAACTTCCAAACGACCCAAAGGCTCTTTTAAGAGCCACTAAATGTACACTTAAAGGAGTTGTAGCACACTCGTAATTGAAATGTGTTCTAAGGTCTTATGCCTATTATTCGTTCACAGGATCATCGCTCTTAACTGAAAAGGTGGGTGGCTCGTAAGCCTTTTAAGTTATTGCTGAAAAAAACTGAACGGTTATTTAGAACTAGTGTACTTAGTGACCTCAGACACCCTGTCTCCCCTGGCAGAAGTACACGCACCTCAGTGTGGATCTCACGGAAAGCGATGGTTGAGCGCGTGTTGTAATGAGCCAGGCGAGAGGCTTCCCCCCTCGCAATGCACTCGAAAATGTCATTTACAAAGGAGTTCATGATGACCATGGCCTTGGAAGAAATACCGGTGTCTGGGTGAGCTTGTTTTAGCACATTGTACATGTAGATAGAGTAGCTTTCCTTCCTGCTCTTCCTTCGTTTCTTATCGCTCTTCTGAGTTTTAATAACAAGCTTTTTTTAGAGCCTCTCTTAGGAGCGGGAACAGATTTTGCTGGTTCAGACATTTTGATAAAAGTATCCGCTGTATCTATATACTCTGCCTCAATCCCTGAAATCCTAACAAGAGCACATTTTTAAAAAGCGACGACCCCTCTACTTATGGAAGCCTTCACACTCCAAAAGAGCTGTACCACACTCGTCTTTTCAGCAAGATTCCTGTCAGCTCATCTATAAGGTTTTGTATTCTGCTCATTCTTTCCAGGTGGTGGGAGTTTCAGAGTATTCTTTCAATATTTTATTTTTCACACAGCACTATTTTACCGACGAAAACATCTTTTGCTCCTTTGCCATTTTTGAGATAAATGCATATAATGTGTTTTCATAGGGGAAACCCATTTAATCTGATGGTATTTCTTCTTTAAATTCATGATTGTGTGAGCCATATGAAAGCTCGTTTTTAAAGTTAGGCGAACACGACTATCCTTAAAACAGGTACAGGTTAGTAAATAAAAAAAGAATTCAGAGGCCCATATGCAAGAACAATATGCCTAAATTTGTTACACGAGTCCATCAGCACCATTGGAAACACGAGACTCCCTCTGCTTATGTATATAATCATGGTGCTCCGTAGATTTACTCCAAATCTTGTTACTAAAAAAATGATTTTAAGTTTACACTTCTCCCCCTGGGAATGTGCACTGCTACCTTCCTTTAGGTAAACTGTCATGTGCCCTGCTTAAACCACAAAAGCGATAGAGGCAATAAAAGGAGATAAGAAAAAATTAAAGGTACTTCACGACCCAGATAGAATATGGAAATGCTTATGGAGGAGGCTGATGAACAATATGTTCTTTACAGAATGAAGCCTGTTCCTGGTGGCTGGAGCGGGTCTAGTCTGAAATGTATACACTGACACACAACATAGAGCTCACAAAAGAGCCTCAAGCATAGTCTCCCAAAGTTGCATACAGAGTCACAATAACTTCATAGCCGGCTAGTGAACAGGAGGGGCTAGCTACACTGCTATAAATCAGGCCCGGAAAATATGAATATTGAGTATGAAATATACATAAGTCACTAACTTAACTGGACAGGAATGGTGCTGAAAAGACGAGTGTGGTATACATGCATCTGACGAAGTGGGTCTTTGCCCACGAAAGCTTATGCTCCTACACTTCAGTTAGTCTATAAGGTGCCACAGGACTCCTCGTCGCTTTTGCAGATTCAGACTAACACGGCTACCCCTCTGATACCTGGTATTGTGAATGGCTTGCTAACTACAAAAGCAGCTTCTATTCTCTTGGAATTCACACCTCCAGATCAGCTGCTAGAAGTGGGCCTCATCCTCCTTGATTGGATCCACCTGGTCATCTCCAGCCTGATCCTGGCCTGCATATTTATTCCTGCCTCTGGAAATTTCCACTACATGCATCTGACGAAGTGGGTCTTTGCCCACGAAAGCTTATGCTCCTACACTTCAGTTAGTCTATAAGGTGCCACAGGACTCCTCGTCGCTTTTGCAGATTCAGACTAACACGGCTACCCCTCTGATACCTGGTATCATGAGTTTTCCTGGGCAGAACCCACTTCTTCAGATGACCGAAGTATACAGGCAGTCCCCGACTTACGCACTTAAGAACCGCACTTTCAAAATAGCTATTTCAGACTAGGCATTATTCCTCATGGAATGAGGTTTACAGAAGTCGGAATAAGCCGTCCATTATTTCGAAAGAATGGAATTGCTGTGTAGACGCTCGCATTGTTATTGATATAAATAGTAGCCCAGTGTCTGAAATGCCAAAATGCTGGCTCTTCCCTCTGGGGGGGGGGTGCTGTTGCCTGAAATGCTGGCTGTTCCCTCTAGGTGACGCTGTTGTTGAAATGCTGGCTGCTCCCTTTGGGCGGACTATGCTGCATGGGGAATGCGGGGCCCAAACGGCTGCTTGCTTCCTTTTAGCGGCCTGGCTGAGCAGTGCAGAAGTCAGCCGAGTGCCA